TAATGTTAAAAAATATTTAAACATATCTGAAAATATCTCTATATAAAATCCTTAAAAAAGAGTGCAGAATTAAACAAAACAAGTAACAAATGTTTCCTGATAAAATGTGTTGCAATCCTTTTTGTTAGATTTATCATTTTAATTAGTGCTGTCAAACAATTAATTACGATTAATCACATACAAAATAAAAGGTCATATTTACAAAATATATTTGTGCGTAATGTGTATATTTTTGTTTTGACTATTTTGTATAAAATATTTGTTTTATATATATATATATATATATATACACAAATATCATATACAGTAGAAGTCAGAATTATTAGCCCCCCTTGAATCTTCTTTCTTTTTTAAATATTTCCCCAAATGATGTTTAACAGAGCAAGGCAGTTTTCACAGTATCTGTGATAATATTTTTTCAATTGAAGAAAGTCTTATTTGTTTTATTTTAGCTAGAATGAAAGCAGTTTTTAATTTTTAACAAAACATTTTAAGGTCCAAATTAATAGCCCCTTTAAGCTATATATTTTTTTTCGATAGTCTACAGAACAAACCATTGGTATACAATAACTTGTGGCTGGGCCGGTAGCCATTTCTGTGTGGAGTTTGCATGTTCTACCCGTGTTGGCCGAGTGCTCCGGTTTCCCCCACAGGTCCAAAGACATGCGCTATAGGTAAAGGTAAATTGTAGTTACAAAACACCAACAAGGGTGGCTAAAATATCAACGTCAATATAAACAGCCCTGGGGGTAAGTGAGTAAACCTGTATATAGTATGTAAATACAAACCTTTATCTCGAATGCAATTAGTCACATTTAATCACTTGACAGCACTATTCTTAATACAAAACTGTCAATTGAATTTTGTACGGTAACGGTAAATGACCCATTAAGTAAAAATAAATAAATGAAACAAATTAGTTTTGTGTATATCCAAATGTTGTAAAACCATAGTTAGTAAGAAAAGAAAAACAAATAACATTCATTAATTAAAAGTCCAAGTAACAGTTCAGTTTGTGAAATGGGTCATTTTTTTATGCACTGATTCTGGGCAAAAATTCACAGAATTAATTCAGCTTGGATAGACATTTTGAATGAGTTGAGAGTACCACAATTTAATACTAGCAGCTAAAAGCTAAATCTACTTAGCTGAACTATTTAATAAAGACACATGCAAGAAGGAAGCTGAACAAATGGCAGACCGCTCCGATTCTGTGTAAATCTGCAGCAGGTCAGTGGATGTTGTTTACCATGATGAATCTAGACAGTAATGAAACAAACGAGACGAACCGCACAGTTGTATTTCAAAATGCATTTTAAATGTATTTATTGACTCTCGATTCATTGCATATGACATCCATTCTTTCAAAGATGACTGGAATGTTTCAGGTTTGCAGGGGGGAGACAAGGACAGTTGAAAATAAAGAGGGAAACCCACTAACTATGAAACTTTTACTGCATATCCAAAGGCCAGAGATCATAAAACCACCTGTTCCTCATCATCGTGTTATTTCAAAGAGGATTGCGTTAAAAGACCATTGTATAGCCTTTTATCGTCGTCCTAACACTCCTCACATAGCTTTTTTTTGTTTCTCTTTTTCTTATAAACTCAGTTTTCACACATTAAACGATTCACACTATATTATCCTGCCAAGTTAAGGGGAAAACCAAAAAATGGTGGCAGCATGCTGAGCTCGACTACAGTTTTTTTATGTAACTTTAAAGTGAACAAGGAACAGTCTGGAATTCTAGTCTCTATATAAATACTATCTCGACTACTCTTGATGAACAGTTAAATCCAGATCATCTCTACACACTGACATGGCAAACTCAAGTGTGTCACAATAGCTTCTGACAGACCGTAAGCCCTAGAAAATGTCAAATGAACTCCTAATCTCATTATAATGCATCCTGAAGAACTGCCAAAGGAGGAAAAAAAAAGGAAAAATGTACATAACGTTTAGTATTTACATAGTACATTGTAAGTAACCCACCACGAAATGAACATGAGCGGCAGAAAACGAAACGAAAATGGAACACTTTAAATTAATTTCCTGTTAAAAACACCAAAGTATTACGAAAAAAGAAACCCCAACACATTTAATTATTAATGAAAAAGTACAATAAAAAATGGCTGTGTAAGCAGCGGGATTGGAGTATATTCACTGAGATAAACATACACTGTTTCGATTTAAAGTCTAGCTTTTAAATGAACAGTCATTTTTATTTATAAGCTTTTTATATTTATTATAAGCTTCTTTTTTTTCGCTGACCGAGAATTCTAGGCTATCTCTGTTTCACATAATATGCTGACACCTCATCATGTTGTTGGTATGAGAGGAAAATCTCTAGTAAACAGGAAAAACAATTGAACAGTGCAGGTTTTTTTTACTTTGTGCCATTGGAGAGCGGTTTTGTTTTATACTCAACCACCTGCCCGTAGATTAGCAGGACAGATACAGAGCTTTAGGCTGAGTGGCAAGTGCTATTCATAAAATTCACTATGGGATAATGTAGAGAATAAAAAGTCTGAATGTCATCTCGACGGGCACAAAATATGTGAACATGGCTAAGTGCTTCGCTAATAAACGGGGGTATATACAGTACATAGCTTTAGAAACTGAAGAGTGTTGGATAAAGGAATATGTTGTGAAAGTATATCACGAGCAAGTGATCTGTAAAGCAGTGGTCCTCAACCATCGGTCCGTGGATCAAATGGTACCGGGCCGCACAAGAAGTCATTAATTACTTGCGTTTTATTTAATATCTGAGTCTGAACGATCTTTTATTTTGAAAAAATCTTTTATTTTGAAAAATGACTGTATTCTCTCGCTTTCATCTCGGTCACGTAGGCGCCAAAATGTTCCCCCAAGCAGCAAAATGAGTAAGAAACAGACGTCTTAGGAAAGTTTCTTTGCTAAGGGGAAAAGGCCCAGTGAAGGACCCATGAACTGCCAAGAAATGGATCTGCAACCCACTTGTCAACAAATCAGGTGAATCCACCATGTCTGTGCAAGATCAACTGCTGCAGATTGCAAATGACAGCAACCTTTTAGGGGCCGTTCACATATCGCTTTTCTAGAGTTCTAGCTCTGTGCAACTCTCACATGGTCGCCCCCTGAAGCTAAGCAGGGCTGTGCATGATCAGTACCTTGGCGACCACATGGGAAAGCTAAGTTGCTGCCGGAAGTGATGTTAGTGAGGCCAGCAGGGGGCATACAACCACCGGGCAGTGTGGGTCCTAACACCCCTGTATATTGAAAGAGACTCTGTATTGCGCAGTGATGTTAAACTGAGATCCTAAAGTTGTTAAAAATCTTAGGATGTCTTTTGAAAAGTGTAGGGGTTTAACCCCAGCATCCTGGCCAAATTTGCCATCTGGCCTCCTAACAATGCCCATATCATAATTGGCTTCATCACTGTCTCCTCTCCACCAATCAGCTGGTCTGTGGTGTGGAGTATGGCACGATATGGCTGCCGTCGCGTCATCCAGGTGGATGAGGAGATTCCTCCCAATGTGTAAAGCACTTTGAGTGTCCAGATATGTGCCATCTAAATGTAAGTAATTATTATTATTATTATTATTATTATTATTATTATTATTATTATTATAAGTTTGTGTAAGTTCATTATTTTCCAATGGAGGTGCGAGGCTTGCACTTACGCCCTCCAGATGCACACAGTTGAATGAATTCTGGGAGCGCACGGCAAATCTTGTCACGTGATCAGCTGACCGATCAGCTTTAGCTTGTATGGAATATACTCATTTCAGGCAACTAATTATCTCAGACAAGCACAGAACACCCAAACACTGCAGTGCTCTTAGAAAACGGTTGATATTTGCCTGGCAACCTACGAACCACCGCCCCACCTGGTGTGCGGTAAAATTGTCAAGTGTTGACCAGCACACCGTGATAAAATGGTTAGGGACCACTGCTGTAAAGTATTCAGACTTTCATCCAGGAATTTGTAAATGTCCTCATAATGCGTTCCTGCATTGCTCCATCAAACCTGGTCTCGCTAAACTACTTCTATTTCTATAGCCAATCTGAGCTTAGTTCAAAATTTCAAAAAGGATTTTCAATCCAGCTTATTCAGGGATTATTTATTAAAAATGACCCTGTCGAGAAATTAATTTGATTAAAAAAAAATGGACGTATTTACATAATATGCGTTTTTGTCCCATGCACCAAATAGAAATTAATCAGTATAGTCCAATAAGTGGGCTGTCTACTGAGTAAAACACATTTTCAGGGTGACTATATATATATATTTATAAAAACAAAAATCTTCATAAAAAAACCCATAGACCCTAAGTTTAAAGAAAACTTACTAATATACCTGTTTGTTTGATATCAAAACACAAGGTAAAATCTCACAAAGCCAAAAGGCAAACTTAAAGGAACACAACATGTTATGCTAGTAAATGATATACACAAGAACATACACTGGATTCCTGCATTTAGTGAATTCACGATAGGTACTTGATGCAAGAACCTCATTTTGCATTGAACAATATCCCCAGGCTTATGGCAAACGGCAGAAACCACAGATGCTTTAAACACCCAAGGCACTCTTTTTCACAAGCAACAATAAAAATTCAAACGTTTTTAGTATTTTAGTAAAATGTTACCATTCAAACGTTCACTGGTAACCCTAAAGTTTGTCTATATCCCTAACGAACAGTGTAAAACCCCAGTGTGAATGTAGGTAGTCAAAAGATTACAGGCTTAAATGATACAATACGACTAGGTATGATATGTAAAAATTAACCGCTTGCAGCATGAAATGTTCTGTTCGATAAAAGACAGTAACAACAGCAATACCGCTAATCAATCAAGCTAACACATGCCAACCAGTAAGAAAAGGAGTACAAAACATTAAGTTATTGCACATTCGAAAGGGCTCAGAGTCTTGCGTAAATTTCGACAAATTTTCGGCTAGTATCCTCATCTGACGCTGTGCTTTAAATATTGTGTTCTGCGTAAGACATCATCAAATTTACTCCGATTTAATTTCGATGCTCAATGGCCGATCGTTGTGCCATTTTTTCATGTGCTTCTCCAGAGTGCTGTAGACGCTGAAAGGCATGTGGCATATCTCACATTTGTAAACGTCCTTGCCTGTCTGTCCATGCGTCTTCATGTGCCGTGTTAGCTTACTGCTTTGAGCACAGGCGTAGCTACAAAGCTCACATTTATACGGCCTTTCGCCAGTATGGCTGCGGCGATGCACTGTCAAGTTGCTGCAGTTTTTGAAGACCTTGCCACAAAACTCACATGTGTCACTACGGCGGCCATCCTTGGAGCTGGGGCGACCACTGGGAAGGTGGGGTGTACTGGCTCTGCTTCCCGTGCCGCTACGCCCAGAGGCTGTGCCTCCATCCAGCTCCCCAGGAGGAGTGGAGAACCTGAGACTTCCATTCTCCGAGGAGTGCTCTGAAGAGGTGGCGAAAGGTGATTGTCTTGAGTCCCCAAAGTTGAGGATAGGATCCTTGAGCTGGCGCGAAGCGGCATATCCAGCCAGCCATTGTGAGTACACATTTTCTGAATTGGGAATTGTAGGAGTTGGAAGATCAAGGTCTTTTTCCACCTTGATTCGCTTAGTTAGAGGACTGTCAGAACCTGGACTTCCAGCGAGAAGTTTTCTTGAGAGGTCATCATTTGAGTAGGACGCCGACCCATTAACGATGTGTCCGTACCCTTCGTTGACTTGAGAAGACTCTTTTGGGGAACTGTCACCAAATGTCTCGTGAGCTGATCTGTGGTGGTCGCCTCGTTTGTAATGTTTGAGCGCTTCTCGGTAGTCCTGAATTCCCTCCACATTTTTGTTGTGTCGTTGTCTATTGTTCTCGTGATGACGTGCACCTTCTAGGCTCAAGCTAAAGTTTATATCATTCCTTTCACCAGCCTCACTTTCATTCTCCTCCTCCTCCTCTTCTTCTTCTTCATCTTCCTCCTCCTCTTCCTCCTCTTCATCCTCCTCCTCTTCTTCCTCTTCTTCATCTTCCTCTTGTCCATTTTCAGGGATCATGCCATTGTTCTCGATTTTAAACTTTGCAACCACTGATTTAAGAGCATTGGTGGCACTGCTTGGCAAATCACTCGTTCCTGGCTCAGGTGAACTCGCAGTTGAAAGGCCATCGTCTGATTTGGAGGTAGTGGAGGAGGATTTGTGCCGATGGGTCTTCATGTGGCGCTTCAACTTGCTGGCCTGCGTGCAGGCATGGTTGCAAAGGTGGCACTTGTAAGGTTTCTCTCCGGTATGACTACGCCTATGGACAATTAAGTTGCTCTGGAACTTAAAGGACTTCCCACAGAACTCGCAGGATTTTGCTTTTGCAGTTGGCAGGGTGGGTGTTTGCTGTGTAGGTGTTGAACGGGGACCAGAAGGAGAATGAGATGCCCCTGGCTGGAATGGCTGCAGCAGCCTTTGCATAGGGCTGGGCCTGTTGGGCGACATGGGTGGAGAAGAGCCAGCAGAGTTGCCTGCCAGTTCCCGTAGTCGTCTCGAGAAGTCCATAGATGGGGAGTCCAAGGGTACCGAATTAAGACGCAGTACCCTGTCAAAGGCGCTTGGGTGGTGGGGGGCCAAAGCCAGATCGTCTGGGCTCATATGATGCCGAGGTGGGGGACTAAAGAGTGGAGGCGTCCTGGGATATCGACCTTCTCTAGGAACAGAGGAGCCATCTCTGTTGGCTATCCTCATCAGGCTATAAGGACTACTGTCTCCTAGATGGGCTGCATGTATAGGTGGCTGAGAGGCACAGTCACCACCCATGCCTGGAGCAGAGGCCACACGGGGAGTTAATGGGCTTCCAGGTTCGCTTTCCAGGTATATTCGGAAACCATGAGTATTCTGGGCATGCTGTAGCAGGAACCAAGCAGTGCTGAAGGGCTGCTTACAGGTTGTGCAAGTGTAGCTGCTGGGCTCATCTTTTTCTGCAAAACAAAACAAAAGGAGAAGGTCAGTTGTCTATTTAGGAACTAGCAAGTCAGACAAATTTTTCAGCAAATTTATTGCAGGAAAATAACTTGTTTAGGTGCTTGTTCTGTCCTTGCCTCTATATTATTTCTCATGCTGCTAAAACCACACTCAAACTTTGAGCTGTACCTCTACTAACTTTAAATCATAGTTCACCCAAAAGTGAAATTTCTATGGAAGTCGAAGATTAGATGCTTCCAACATTTTTCTAAATGAATTATTTTGTGTTCTACAGGAATAAAAAGAAACTCAGACCGGTTTACAACAAGTGAAGGGTGAGTAAATGATAACATGCATTTCAGTTTTGGTTGAGCTATTGCTCTTTAACAGTTAATAATAAATCAATGTGCTTATAAGTTATTGAAGTTATTTTTCATACAGTTATGTTCTTGCTTTGATATCTTGGCATGGCATGCTAAATCACAAATGCAAATGCTAAATTCAACCTGCTGAAAATGCAAGTAAGGTTGTTCAGTTTCTGCATGAGCATCACTTCATATGTCAACAGCCTCGCCTGTCTCTGAGATATCTGACACAAAGGCCAGAGCGAACAAAAAACCTGTACCCAATCAAAACACTTTTTTTTACTGCATAAGAGATGCAGGGGGGAGGCTGGTAAATTATGGATCATTACAATCTGCAAAAATTACAGTTAATTGCTGCCACCTGTGTAGGGTTTGACCTCCTCAGGAGATTTTCCGTCATAAAAAGGCCACTCTCTTTGCCTGCCTGTTCTCATGCTTATTCCAATAAAATCATATACCATTATGAGTCATACAAAGAGGCCTGTGCTTATATTCGAGGATTTTAAAATGCATGTTTCTATAAGACACAATAAAAAACAAATGTAAAAATAATATTTATCATTGCATTTCAATTTCAGAAATGAAATAAGCTAATATGTTAATTCTAGCTGTTTAATGGCTTCGAAAAGTGTACTGTATACACAAGCAAACACAGACACCACAAACATTTCCTATCTTTTGGAAATTTTGGTGAGGATCCAACCTCACATATTATTATTTTTCAGTTTTTTTGGTTTTGTTGATGTAAAGTGCAACTACATTAGCAGCAGATAACACAAAAAAATAGTAAAATTAAGATACATTTTTGAAAATCCATTGGTGCTCCAAAATACACTGTGAAAAAGAAATACAGGGCATGAAGGTGGTAGAAATTATACTCAAGTTTGAATCAAGCAATCAAACCAAGTGTGAAAACAGCCTAAAATAAGGGAAGTGTTCTCTATAGACGTATAATCATCCTGCGTCGCTGACATTTAAAACACCCACCTCACCAACAGCAGCTATTACTCGGTGGCCTTGTCTGAGAGGACGACTTATTGATTACTTTCAACCTTGTTTCTTTCAGCACATAGCCGACAATCACATTTTCTTTAGCGATATGCTAAAAAGTGGGGGAGGGGGGAGTTATATTGGAGAGCAATTTGCGGGCATATGTCCATCCAGATCGTGAGAAGAGGACAGAAAAGCATCATTGTGTGTCTGATTGGAACACCATCAAAATATCTATGAGGGCAAACCAAACATTTATGGGCATTTCAATTGGTTTGATGTAGGATTGAATAATTCCATTCATACTAAACAACAAGCCTTGATACAGTTCCACTTTTTCGTCACTTTCTGGACAAAAAAGCTATTTGACCAATACCAATTTTTAAGGATAAAGTATTTAGGACATGTTTTATTACTCAACAAGTCTTAAGTGTGAACAATTCCATCTTTAACCTTTTTACTACTGAGGTACATGTGACATTGACTAGGCTATGTTTACACAACAATGGTGTAGTCAAGTCAGTGGCACGACACTGGTGTGTATGTACTCCAGAATTTGCTATGTGTGTATGATGTGTATCTGCTGTTGGTTGTAATATTAAGTAAATCTTTATCACTTTGCGAATAAAGCTTTAGCAACAACATGACAACATACTCTGCCATTGTTGCGTTTTTTTCGCACTTGCTTTAAATCTACACTTCTCTAAATACATTTCATGAATGTGGATGACATGATCATTTTCAATGACTCGTTTTCAGGACACGAAACCAGTGGCGTTTTCCGAATGTATGCATTTCCAGTCCCAATATCGCATGGGTGTGTAAACAAACAGGCAAAAAGAGTTTTTTGTATAGAAATATTACAAGTTTGGATGATAATGTTGTTTAAATGGCTTATAAAATCCATCTGTTTTTGAACAAAACTGCCACAGCAGCAAGTCATTATTATACCAATATATAGTTTCATATCAAGCTCATTTGCAGCTGCAAATCGTAACGTTTTGATTTAGTGGTTAAAGCCGTGGTCACACTGGACCTTTCGCCCCATAAACTTCCTTTCATATGCATGCAAATGCAACAGACCGGAAATGAAAACTTGTATGACAAGTTCGTATTGTTTTGATTTAGTGGCTAAAGCCGTGGTCACATTGGAGTTTTCGCCCCATAGACTTCCATTCATACGCAGGTAAATGCATCAGACCGGAAATGAAAACTCGAATGACAAGTTTTGTAAAGTTTTGATTTAATGGAAATTACCGCAGTCATACTGGATTTTTCCCCCATAGACTAAAATTCATATGCACACAAATTCGTCAGACCAAAAACAAAATGTTTCGCAGTTCGCTGAATTGCAAAATTCAAAACATGACCTCGTTGTACAGAAATGTAAAATATGGACCAATCGCTCACTTTTTTAAATGTCTAATCATCTTGTTTAATCCTTTTCATAGCGTAGTACAGCAGGATTTCCCTTGTTCAAACTCTAGTGTGACTGCGGCAAAATTCGTATTCATTTGTACGATCTCATTCGTACCTTTAAGTACAAGCTGCTCCTCCTCCATTAAAGAATAGGGTGTATGGGTGAGGTTTGAAGATGCACCTTTTTAAAAGTATGTTTACATTATTATTTTACTTTTCTGACAATATGTAAAATAGTTATGTTTCGTCTCCTGACTGATCAGGCAATTTTTTTCAGCTACATATAAAAATACATAGAAATTTGATCTTATTACTCGATTGAATGGCCGTTATCAGTGGTTATCAGCTGATAGATATGGGCCAGCAGGGGCCTTCTGCGCCTACTGGTAGTTATCATCCACTACTAATTCATGGAGAATTTAATAAATAATATAAATAAATCTTGTTAACTTCTGTCTGAAGCCATATGCGATTTATAGCTGATTAACCATGTGAATGGATGATAAGTCTTCTGAGCCTACCATTAGGGAAAGAAGGCCCCTACTGGCCCATATCTATCAGCTGATAACCACTGATAATGCCCATTCATTCATTCATTCATTCATTCATTTTCTTGTTGGCTTAGTCCCTTTATTAATCCGGGGTCGCCACAGCGGAATGAACCGCCAACTCATCCAGCAAGTTTTTACGCAGCGCATGCCCTTCCAGCTGCAACCCATCTCTGGGAAATATCCACACACACACTCACTACGGACAATTTAGACTACCCAACTCACCTGTACTGCATGTCTTTGGACTGTGGAGGAAACCGGAGCACCCAGAGGAAACCCACGTGAAGGCAGGGAGAACATGCAAACTCCACACAGAAATGCCAACTGAGCCGAGGTTCGAACCAGTAACCCAGCGACCTTCTTGCTGTGAGGCGACAGCACAACCTACTGTGCCACTGCCTCGCCCCTAATGCCCATTCAATCATATCTTGTCACGCCTGAACCTAAGACCAACACATGCAAGTCACTACATATGCCCTCGGTCCATTTAACTAAATACACACATGAAACCAAAGACATGAAGTGTGTACTTAAAGGGCCAACATCAGATCGTTTGACACCATAAAAACACATTCAAGGTTTACCACGCACTACGCATAATTCACCAGCAAATAATTACACTTCACTCAAGCATCTGTGCCCCTCACACCTGACCCTAGTTTAATCTAGACATGATTATTCCCATATTCAAGTCAATGTAATGAAAAGCTCCAAATGCCATATGGATACTCCAGGGATGAGGTGAGAAAATCATGCTTGGCTACAACAAAGCAGCTGGTAATATTTTTGCCAGTGCAAGTAAATGTGTTTAATTTCCAGTGTGTTCAATCCCAGCACTGGACACCCTGCCCCCCTGCGCATATTGAAAGTGTCTGAGAGGGTGAGGAGGGTCGCCATCTTGAAACAGGGCCTCTCATAGAGTGCCTAGCAATGGGTCAGCAGTCACCTTATCAACGCACATTAAAGAGGAGGACAGACAAAAAGGAGTGGACCAGACGGAGAGGTGAAGGGGAAGGCGGTTTAAAGCCCACAGACGGGTGGAGGCATCGACTGGGGGAGGTGACCGTCTGAGAAAAAGAAAGATGTGGCCATTGGGGAAGATGAACTGGTCTAGTCTGCACAGGGCAGAGGTGGACGTTTTGTTAGCTCACGAGACCGTCCCGCAGACAGAGCAAACACCGAGGGGGAAACGAGATTCAGACAGTTTGACTCCAGCAAACATCTACAAACAATAATCCAGGTTTTAGGAAAAACTTTGCAGGGTTGTGGCTCCTAAAATCTAATTGGATGAGCCACTTTTAAAGCTGTTTTAATAGTAAACACAACTTTATAACTAATAGCATTTAACAATCCCATGAAATTAAAATCGTTTTCTTTTTTGTTAATATAAGTATTGTTAGTTTTTAAGGTGTCTGAAAGGTAGTGCACTTCAAAACAGAGACAAAATTCAGGTTTAAATGATACAAAACTGATATGAGCATGCAAAGCTTGCAGTTTAACACTTCCGTCTATATGGAGTAACGATTTTTCTTCACGTCATTTGGAGCTACAGTTTCTCCTCAAATCATAACCAATCAAATGCTCTCTAGTATGCAACATGCCCTGCCCCCTTCAAGACACCTCATTTGCTTTTCATTTGATGCACTTGAGCTCAATCTCTCACTGGCAGAGCGGTGATAAACAAAATGCTAT